TGCAGAACAACTTGAATGCGCGTGTCATTAGTGAGGAAAAACCTGTAGTCAGCACCCAGACAGCAGGAATACCAAATGACTAGAAAGAAAAAGAGAGAGAGAGAGAGCAAAAGAGAGACACACCCTGTGTTTGAAACTGCTGCTAATCTGCACGGCAAACAAGACGAGTTTAAGCATACAACATCCAATTAGCGTGTAATAAATGGAACTGCAATAACAAATGGTTGTAAACTGAGCTGTAAAAGGAGCAGTGTCGTAAGGCAGACCTCACAGGGAAATGGAGCACCATTCTGAGGAGTAACAGGCACGCAAAGTGAGCAAACACACAAACGTGGACTTTAAATGACTTGTTGAGATATCGGTAATAAGTGCCTTGTCATGTTTCATTGGATTTCATTCAAAATCATTCAAGTCTGAGTCATCTTGCATTCTATGGAAAGCTTTTTGCCAAGATCCTTTCTGTAGCATCTTGTTACACATTGGTAGTATCATAAAATACTGACAACTAGGCTGTTTTCATCACTTTTTAAACATCAATATGCTCCTCTTTTGAAACGACGTGACAATATAGAACACATCTGAGCATAAAAACGCTGCAGGCAGGCAGGGTTACAGGGTTATCACTCAGTCAGTCTTAAGTTTTTAATCTGTTTTACGACAGGAACTAACAGCAAGATAATCAAGCATACATACGACACTGCAGCCTCAGCAGCCAATAAAGTAACTGCTGAGAAACAAAATAAATTTAATTAACTGGTTTGTGGATTCAGTCKGTATCWATTCGGCTMCGACAGTACAGCTTTGGTGTAGCTGGATAGAAATACTTCAATCTTTAAATTTAAAAAAGCAGAATGAATGGACTTACAGGAATTAAGAACTAACCTGTTAGATTACTTAGYGAGGTGTAAGACTTTATCCATATAAGTCAAGTTTAAACAACCACACTTCCAATCGTTTTTGCTTTGAGTTGATCTTGCTGATAACCAGAGGTGCGGGGTGAAAAATCTATTCTTAGATGTATCATAACAGGTCACGTGGAAGATTGTGAATAGATTTTCAAATGTTGTCACTTTAAGAGCGTCAGCAGAGTAGCTGTTGTGCAGTTCTGTTTGTCCTTGTAGAGCTGCTGTAGTTGAAACATGTTGATGCATGTTTTTTTTTACATCAGTTCTTTGCAGAACCCCGTAGAACATGTTTGTAATAATGTGAAGGCTTATCCTGCCTGCACACTATTGTGATCCATCTTCAGTGTTTGTCAGCACGCATCTCGTTTCACTACTTTTCTATCATTTCAACTATTTAGATTTCAAAATGTTTAGATCTTCCAGGACATTACGGGTATGACTTATGGTACTTCAGCAATTTATATTTATTGAAATATTCACCAGCAGCTTTTTTGGCCATTTATTTTCTCAATGAAAATAAATGAAGCGGTCTTTAACATTTTTCAAAACCATGAAAATGTTCATAATTTTTTTTACAATTCTCTTGTTCTGTTTTTTTTTTCTTTTTTTTTTCTAACTTCATTATACTAATTTCAGCTTCCTTTGGCTTCCATTTGATTTTAGCTTTTTTTAACTGTTGTTCTGACCTTTTCTGATATTCTTCTGCTAATTTCAACTTATTTGAGCTACTTTCAGCTATTTCAAGCTTTCTATGCTTCTTTCAATTTCTGCTCATTTCAGCTGATTTCTGTGTTTTTAGCAACTTTTTACTAGTTTTTACTTTGTGTCAGCTAATCTAAATTTTTTATAATAATTTCAGCTTCTCACTACTAAATTTAAAAAGTGCTCTTTCTGATTCTTTATGCTAATTTCAGCTTTTTTTTAGCTATTCAGCAAAAATACGTATTAAGTATTCTCATCACATTTTTGTAGGAAATGGCAATTCTTTAGTTGAATTATAAAATCACTGTTTTAGTAATGACTTTAAAACAGATTTGTGTATAAATTTCAGTGACAAACCTGATGCTAATCGTGTTAGACCAACTAGTTTTTACTCAGCAGCCTGTGAAAAGGTTTTTTTGGCAAATCTCTCTCCATCTATAAATATATAGTCCACTCTTTATTACGTAGTAAAATAAATACATCAGTGTGTTTGACTCAGTAAAATAAGCCATAGTCCTTTCAATAAGCGTGTTTCTATCTGTTTTTCAGTTTCAGAGTTTTGGCTCAACATCATAAGTKTACCAGTTGACTCCTGGTGTTTAAACACAAACCTGAAAATTGCAGCTAATCAAAATGCATCAATAATCATTTCGTAGTCATACCCAGGGGTAGACATAACCATTGCTTAGGTTGTCCGAGACAACCTATTTTCATTTCAGACAACCAGATCTTGACTCCTGGTTGTCCGGTGGACAACCAAGAAAAAAAGACCTTGATTAAAATTCTCTGCCGCGGGTATTCTTCATTTGTAAAAATGAAAGGGAGAAAAAACTTGGTAAAACCGAACAGAATACCAAACTGTAACTTTTAATAAGGTCATGTACACAGCATATTCCTATTTAAGTGAAAATGTTTGATCTATGAGCAGAAAGAAGTTTATGAATGTCGAACTCATTCTCTGAACGGCAATCGAATCAAAATGTGAAGTGCCCAAAGACTCACAGCCCCACTGATAACAGGTAATTAAGATGCTAAAAAGGCACACAGAGGTAATATGCATGCAGTAATGTTTTGATTTGCTCTGCTAACAGAGATTGCAGATGAAAGCAAACAACAGGCTGTAAAAATAATTATGAGATTTAATTGGCCAGGCAACGTCTCGCATCACATTTCTTCCTCCACGTTAATGACACAAAGATGCAAAAATTCAATTACAAATGTCTGAATGGGAATTTCACTTTTATGATCTGCTGAACGGCTTTTGTGGGCTCAACGTCTAACGCAGAACTTTAAACAGTAATAAACGGTTGTACATCTGTGACATCACTCCAGAATTCGGTCACGAACCCAACACGACCACATGCTGGAGGCCAGAAAATTAAAGGTTTTCAGCTAAAAAGAGGGTGTACAGCAAGCCTATTGAACAAGCGGCCTGTGGGACATATGGCATTTTTTATCAAATGTTTCCGGCCCTAATTTGTCTATAATGCTAAAACTATGTAATGAATATCAGGGCTACCTTGAGTGCCACAGTAGAAGTCTACCTCTGTGTTTGGACCTTTTATCTGACCTGCAAATAGAATTAAGGCTGCAGTACAAACAGAAGAAAGCTGCAAAAGTTCAAAAAGTAAAAGTGTCAAGATGTGTTTTTCAAAGACGCAAAACACATTTAGAAATTTGACAATTTCCAACCACTAAATGGACTAATATGTATTTTTTGTTGATTCTGCAAACAGCAGCCAGTGTTCACTGATGYTATTAGACTTCCGTGTGAGATTTAAAACATGCATGCATGCCCCCAAGGCCCGCACGGGTTTCATGATGTTTAACTAAGAGACCTACACTGAATAATACAAGGTATTCTGCACAGTCTGAGCCAGAAGGGTTTACAATAGGCTCTGTCTTTCTGCACGACTCATGCAAATCATCTAAGTGCGCCTGGCATTTCAGAGAACAACTCACTGTTAGGAAATGAAGAGACATTACAGTAGTTATTTGCTAGTGTGTGTCTGTCTATCTATCTACATACTATATATACATATATATATACATATATATACGTATACATATATAAATATAAATGGGTGGAGTGGTTGAGCAAGCTGTGGCATGAACAAAGACTGTCAGCAGGGTGACCAGCTGACAGGCTCACCAGCTGTGAATGTTAGACATGGCATGAAGATGGTTTTCATACTTCTCAGATACCCTCAGAAGAGATTTAAAGACACAGCACTGTTTGCGACCCTCTGGGAGGAGAATTTAATCAAAGCTGCACGAGTAAAATGGCATTGAAGTTTCTCATAAACCAAAACGCAAAGAAAAAGAATAGGAGGCGTGTCAAAGCAAGCTGCATATTCAAGAATGTGACACGGAATTGAGTTCTGCAAATTCTACACAACTTCAGGAACACACAGTACTGTAAATACTCTGAAACAGGTATTTCTGTGGAATTATAAGTCCATAATCACATAAACATCTGAGCTACTTAATGCATTTGATGGCTGAATAGCTTGTTATTGTCCTCGGTGCCTAATCTGGGTGTGTTTGGTCTACAATCACAATAAAACGCAACTAATGACTGGTACATGTGTGAAAGTTGGACCAACATGAGCAGGATAAAGCTCTGCTTACAGGATGACGGCCTCGCTGACTCTGATGAGGAGAGGACACCACCTAACCTCGGGACAGTGAGTCATGCCTGTAAGGATGACATCATTCTAGAGTCATCATCATCGCCATCGGATGGGTTCCTGTAGAAAGCTCTCACTGTGCACGAGGGGGGCCTACTTTCCGAAAACCACGTGACCCCCCCTCCTGCTTGTGCTTGTGCTCAGCAGGCTGCACCCAACTGGAAAATGCATAATGTATGCAGTCCTGGGATGTGTCAAGTAGCAGGTAGTACATGCAGAACTACTACAGTATTCTCGCCTCAGGCTGTGTTAGACCATATCTGATCTACTAAGGGGGGCAACCCTTCATATGATGCGAGTATGGGCATGTCAGCCCCCTTCAGAACTGATAAACAACCCCCCTAAAAACAAAGAGATCTGCACATTTAGCACTACTATCCCTTGTTGGGCTTCAGCCAGTATGTTTACTACAAACAAAGTGGCACATACATGTGTTTACAGGAGAGGAGCAAAGGACAAGCAGGCAAGATGAGCGAGCGAAAACACGAATAATCCGCTGAAATAAAGGCGAGCTCTTCTGGAAAGTGCACACTGTGTGCTCCAACAACTCGAGCGTGGAGATGTAAACAAGTACTTTTGCTTTTTTATAAATTACTTCCTCGTGCAGACGGTCGAGCGTCTCTGATGGGCCTAAAAGTCTCAGTTAGCCGTTGTGCAATCATGCTGTTTTCTTTCATCCGACTCTGTGCAAACAGCTACTCACCACACGGATCCGTAAGCACCGGAGCCGACCGGAGACAGGTTCTGGTAGCGCTCCGGGACTTCCCACACGGTTTTGTTGAGCTCCTGTCGATAGAACGTGGGTCTCTCTTTCTGCGACATTCCTGCGGCTTCACCAGCAGCCCCGCAGCGAACGAAACAAGCCAGCGGAAACTTCTGCCCTCTCCTCTCCTCCCAGAGTGAAACGACGTGCTGAGTGCTGCCGCCGCTCTCCTGTAAACTCTAAAAAAAAAAAAAAAAAACGAACACCGCCCGCGCTGTCGACAAAAACTTCAGCCGCCCCTGTCGTGCAAAAAGAGGGAGTAAAATACGATGCAATTAACCCGAAGGAAAAATCCCTCCTCGCTTCACGCACGCTGGAACAACTTCGCGTAGGAAAAAGCTTCCAGGAAGCAGACTGACTTTTCGCTGGATCTTTCGCTCGGGGATTTCTCGGCCCTGTTCTGAGCTAGCTTTGGTAGGCGCGCGGAAACGTGAGCGCGCACGTCCACAAACGTCGCATCGCGCTCACTGATTTCTCGCGAGAAGATGCTCTGTTGGGCAACTTRGGGATATCCCGTACAGTCATGTTTGAGAGCTTGACTTACCTGCTTGTTTTAATTACAAACTGTCATTCCAGCAGAATACATCTGACAAGAAGATGTCTTGTCTGTGTAATAATAGTCCAAGAAATATACCATGTTTATCTGCATAAAAAGTACCAGCAATGTTGATGGTACCACATTAAATTTGGTTTGATTTAGGTTCAGTCCTGGCTGTGAAACACTGGAACAACTCTTTACCCYCACTAGGGTCCTCAAGGGGTCATGGGAGTTTGCTAATCCAGTCTACATGTGTTTTGTGGACTTGGAAAAGGCATTTGACAGTGTTCCTTATGGGTACCCTCTGAGGGCTGAGTGAGTATGGGATTGTGGGTCCGTTGTTACAGGCAATTCAGTACCTATACATGTGGTGCGAGAGTTTGGTTCACATTGCCAGTAGTAAGTCAGACTCCTTCAGAGTTGGAATTGGACTCTGCCAGTGCTGCCTGTAGTCACCAATTCTGTTCATAAACTTACGCTAACTGGCAACTTCATTAGGTACACCTGTCCAACTGCTCATTAAGCCAAACACATGACAGCAACTCAATGCATTTAGGCATGCAGACATGGCCAGGACGATCTTCTGCAGTTCAAACCGAGCATCAGAATGGGAAAGAAAGGTGATTTAAGTGACTTTGAACGTGGCATGGTTGTTGGTGCCAGATGCGCTTGTCTGAGTATTTCAGAAACTGCTGATCTACTGGGATTTTCACBCACAACCATCTCTAGGGTTTACAGAGAATGGTCCRAAAAAGAGAAAATATCCAATGAGCTGCAGTTCTGTGGGCGCAAATGCCTTGGTGATGCCAGAGGTCAGAGGAGAATGGGCAGACAGGTTCAAGCTGATAGAACAGCAACAGTAACTCAAATAACAACTCGTTATAATCGAGGTCTGCAGAAGAGCATCACAACACATCAAACCTTGAGGAGGAGGAGCTACAGCAGCAGAGACCACACCGGGTCACTCCTGTCAGCTAAGAACAGGAAACTGAGGCTAAAATTCACACAGGCTCATCAAAACTGGACATTAGAAGATTGGAAAACATTGCCTGGTTTGATGATTCTAGATTTCTTTTGCAACATTCAGATGGTAGGGTCAAAATTTGATGTCAACAACATGAAAGCATGGATCCGTCCTGCCTTGTATCAACGGTTCAGGCTGSTGGTGGTGGTGTCATGGTGTGKGGGAGATTTTCCTGGCACACTTTGAGCCCATTAGTACCAACTGAGCATTGCGTCAACGCCACAGTCTACCTGAGTATTGTTGCTGACCATGTCCATCCCTTTATGACCACAGTGTACCATCTTCTGATGGCTACTTCCAGCAGGATAACGCTCCATGTCATAAAGCGTGAATCATCTCAGAGTGGTTTCTTGACACGACAAATGAGTTCACTGAACTTGAATGGCCTCCACAGTCACCAGATCTCAGTTCAATAGAGCATCTTTGGGATGTGGTGGAACGRGAGATTCACATGGATGTGCAGCTGACAAATCTGCAGCGACTGCGTGATGCTATCATGTCAATATGGACCAGACTCTCTGAGGAACAAGAATTTCTTGGTGCAGCCGAAAACAGGAATTTCTTGGTGCAGCCAGGGGGCGGAGAGTGTTTATTGTTTGTTAAATGTTTTATTTGGATCCCCATTAGCTTCCACAGCAGTGGTTGCTTGTCTTCCTGGGGTCCATAAAATCAAAATACAAAAATACAAATAACAATACATATAATTAAAACAAACATATTCATTTCCATAGAGTTTTAAAAGCTATAAAAGCCTCATAAAACCAGCCATTTAAAACATCCAAATAAGCAAGTGCAGTCTGCAAAACACCTCATCACTCAAACAATTACAATAATATAACAACATATGTAATACTTTCAATAAAATAATATCTGTTTTATAGTTTTCCCAAAAATGTTTGGATTTTGAATTTCCCTAACACTAGATGGGAGTAAATTCCACTCTGAAGCTCCCCTATACAGAATTGTTTTCCTCATAAAATTACTTCTAGGGCTTGGAACTATAACCATGTTGTTGCTGACAGAGTATGTTACATGCTCATGACAATGTCCACTGAATAATAATCTTTCTTTAAAATAATGTGTATGATTAATCATTACCATGTGCATAAACAGTAGGAGACTGTATTTTGCTTTTGCTTCCACAGTTAACCAAGACAATTTAAGATGCATCTCATACACATTCGTGTGGAAAGGACAGTTCAAAATTACTCTGGCTGCTCTATTCTGAGCTATTTGAAGTTTTCCTCGATATTTCTGGACCGCACCAAACTACAGCACAATACTGTAAATAAGTTAAAACAAGACTTTGAACAATATKTTCCATTACAGCAGTTGGACAATATGCAGAGCATTTTCTTGACATAACAATTCCCCTGGCCATTATACCAACCATATGGTCAATCTGATCTGAGCAGGACAATAAGCTGTCTAATTTGATACCCAACAATTTGAATTAGGTGACCTGCTCTACCTTGGTATCCTCAATATATGCAGATTAAGTGAGGTCAAATTTTGCAACATCTATCTACTGCAAAATGTCATGCATTTAGTTTTGGAAATATTTAATACCAGTTTGTTCTTTTTCACCCAGTCCACTACTGTGTTTAACTGTTGCTTTAGACTCACATTCAGTCCTGGTATTGTTGATGCTGCAGTGTACAAAGTGACATAATCAGCAATCAGCATACATTACAGCACTAGCTTTTTCAACAACATATGGAAGATCATTTATAAATATTGAAAATAAAAGTGGACCCAAACAGCTTCCTTGTGGTACACCACATGATATTGTTATACTGTTAGAAAGACTGCCATTAAAAGACCTGCTGTATCCTGTTGCTGAGATAACTGTGTGTCCAGGCCAGTGCCGCTTGTGAAAAACCATATGCTTTAAGTTTGGCAATAAGAAGACTGTGGTCGATTACATCAAAAGCTGCAGCAAAATCTAAAAACACGGCTCCTACTAGTTTCTTTGCATCTAAGTATATTAACCATTCTTCAGTCATGTGTGCTAGAGCGGTATTAGTTGAAAAGCCATGTCTGTATGCTTGTTGGAACTGTGTTAACAATTCATTTGTATTAAAATAATCCATTATTTGATTAAAAATKACCTTCTCCAAAATCTTGCTTAACACAGGAAGTAAATTGATTGGTCTACAGAGTTTGATCCAGCAACACCTTCTTTTGGATCTTTGACAAGAGGTATAGTTTTTGACTGTTTCCATTGCTCAGGAAAAGTACCACTTAAAACTGACCTATTGAAAACGTGACAAATAGGTGTTGAGGGATGAATGGCAGCTATTTTGAGTATTTTTCCGTCAAGAGTATCTACACCTGAAGATGTATCATCAGAGACACTGAAGCATCTTCTCAACAACATCCTTAGTTACTGGTTTAAAATCAAAGTGGCATTTTTTACCACACACTATATTATCTACATGAGTCACTGTCAGTAATGTTCATGTTAGCTCTTAAATTATTCACTTTATTTGTAAAAAAATAAAAAAATTAAAATAATTTGCAATATCGTATGGCCTTATGATGAACTGCCCCTCACATTCTACAAATTTTGGCAATAATTTTGGCTTTTGGCACATTAATACATTYAAGGTTTTCCACAATTTCTTACTATCATTGTGTTATGGATTTTCTGTTTAAATTAATCACTCTTTTTCCTGTGATTTAGTTTTGTGGCCTTATTTCTCAACGAGCAGTAAGTTCTCTTGTCTTCAGAACACCCTGACCTATGAGCAACTGCGTTGGCCTTGTCCCTTTGAAGCATCAAAGATCTCAACTCACTGTCCAGCCATGGTGCACTGTTACTCTTTRTAGACATTCTTCTGAGAGGAGTGTGTTTATCAACCAAATTCATTAATTTCTCCATAAATGTGTTTAAAGCAACATTCACTTTCTGTTCTTCACATAACTCTGACAACTGAATATTATTAATGTCAGATATTAACAAGTCTGGGTTAAATGACCTGTGGAGRACAATCCTAACTCCTGATTTGAGCAGTTTTGTGTCTCTTGATAAAGCAATCAGATTGTGATCACTGAACCCCACAGCTTTTGAAACTGTTTGTGTACAAAGCTCTGGAATATTAGTAACTAGCAGGCCAATACAAGTTGAGGTAATTTTGTGCCAAAGGAATTTCTAGTAGGCTGCTTGACAATCTGGGTAAAATTACAAACACTAGCCATAGAAGACAGGTTTTTTATTTTATTTTATTTTATTTTATTTTTTTGCGTAAGGGACCATGTTTTGAAAACCAGTCTACATTAAAATCTCCTAAAAGAAAAATGTCTTTGCTTTCCTTAGAAACTCTGTCTAAAGTGTCACATATTTTGTCTAAATAACATACGCGAGAGCTGGGGGGCCTGTAACAACAACCAACTAAAGGTTTGCAATGGGATATGTGTAGCCATAATATTTCAATAGAGTCTGGTTCAGTGGCCTCAGAATTCCATCTCTGCTGTTTGCAGATGATGTGGTCTTGTTGGCATCCTCATGTTGTGATCTTCAGCTCCCACTGGAGCGGTTCAAAGCTGAGTGTGAAGCGGCTGGTATAAGGATCAGTACCTTCTAATTTTACATGGTACTCTGTCAGAAAAGGGTGGAGTGCTCTCTCCAGGTTGGGGGTAAAGTTCTGCCTCAAGTGGAGGAGTTCAAGTATTTTGGGGTATTGTTCATGAGTGAGGGAAGATTGGAACATGAGATTGAGAGATGGATTGGTGCAGCTTCCACAGTTTTGCAGACTTTGTACCTGTGTTGTGGTGAAGAGGGAGCTGAGCTGTTAGGCAAAGCTCTCTGTTTACTGGTCTGTCTACATTCCTACCCTCACCTATGGCTACAAACTTTGGGTTATTCAGTTATTCGAGAGAGACTCAGAGTAGAGCTGCTGCTCCTGCTCATCGAGAGAAGCCAGTTGTGGTGGTTTGGACATTGGATGGTAAATAGTAAATAGACTGTACTTATGTAGCACCTTTCTATCCAACCAGGATTATCAAAGCACCCTTTTATACAGCRCTCCTATRAAGCTAACATGTATAAATCATCCTATGGAGACAAAACAGTGTTTTACAGTTTTTRTTGATYGKTTTGACGCAGCCATCAACTCAAAAAACACATTTCCAAAACAGTTAACGCTGAGGCCTAAACATTGACACAGTGGTCAAAATGACACATTTTGTTTGAAAAAGGCAACAACTGTGTCAAAACATTTAAAATATGCAACAAAAGCAAACTTTGCCTTCAAACAACTCAACTTTGACACAGTGCATGAGCACCTCCAAACAATCAGTACACAATGGACAACAAAATACAAAATACAGCACTCGTGTGAATCAGTGCAGCTTTGCTTGTCATTGTAGCCAATGACTGTACGTAGCTTACATGCCAGTGCTGTTTGTAGTCAAATTTGCCCTCTTGCAAAAAATGCATCCAGAAGCAGATATGGTTTGATGCAAATTTTATTGATTACATTTTTTTCAGACTGTGCCTGACAAATGAAATACAGTTTTTACTGATTGCTTTGACCTGTTTGAAGAAACTGGGAACCTCTCAGTCTTCATCATCACCATCAATAAAAACTGTATTCCAAAAGAGAATACATGCAAACAAAAATAAAATCCTTTACTGTGTGAGAAATTAGGTAAAGAACAAAAATCTATAGCAGGCCTTTGCGATGAGTATAAGAGAACAACACAGGCCCGCAGACTGATTACAAATTGAAAAATTCTGTGAAGAAGTGTCAAACAGGTGCTTTYGGTGTTTCGTACCGACAGCTAAAAGGGAGTTTGGACTTCTTGAATGACATCTGCGTTAACTGTTTCGCAAAAGGGTGGAAAACTGTAACAATCCAATGAGAATGGGTTAACACTTTGCAAGAGGTGTCTTCTGTTCTGCTGAGATGGCGATGACGAAGACTGAGAGGTTCCCAGTTCCTTCAAACAGATCAAACCAGTCAATAAAATCTGTAAATCACATTCATACACTGATGGGACACACATCAGAGGCAGTGGCAATTCAKTGTCTTGCCCAGGGACATTTTGACATGTGACTGAATAGCTGGGAATCCAACCTCCAACTCTCTGGTTAGAGGACGACTCCCCTAACCACTCAGCTACAGCCACCCCAGGATGCCTCCTGGACACCTCCCACGTTGCTTCAGGCATGTCCAATTGTGAGGAGACCCAGAGGAAGACACAGGACACACTGGAGAGACTATGTCTCTTGGCTGGCCGGGGAACACCTTGGAGTCTTTCCAGAAGAGCTGGAACTGGTGGCTGGAGAAAGAGAGGTCAAGCTGCTGCCCCTGCAACCCAACTTTGGATAAAACGAAAGATAAGGGATGGATAGATGAGATTTAATTAACATTAATAACCCAATGGTTTCACACATTCAACACTAAAGTATGATTTAAATATGAAGTAGGGCAATAATATGTACAATATTTGAAATTTGGCATATACCATTAATTTAGAGGGTTGGCATCATTTCTTTRCTAAATTAAAAAAGATGACGTTGTGCATCTTATCATATATTTTGATTACTGTAGTAGAGTGTCTGAAGATAATTTTGATGCAGTTTGGTGCCAGTTTAGGAAATACTGACAGAACAGTTGGGGAAAGTGCATAACCAATTTTTCAAAATAAGCTCAATTTTTTGACACTTTTTGGCCATTTTTATGGATACCAGCTGTAAATGGCTTCATAAAATCAATATTAGTTACATGGATTTAGTTAAGCAATCAGTTTTTAACATTTTGGTATGAAAACAGATCTAAAGCAAAAGATCTGCAGATCATGGTCAGATATTTTTTATACATAATCAAAGCCATGATTTTTAGCATTAATTTTGAATTCTGACTTTGTGTCTGGGAGAAATTTTGTAAGAAATTATTTTTATAACCAGCGGGTAAAATAAGTATTGAACACGTCACCATTTTTCTCAGTAAATATATTACTAGAGGTGCTAATGACATGAAATTTTCACCAGATGTCAGAAACAACCCAAGTGATCCATACATACAAAGAAATCAAACCATAAATGTCCAGAAATGAAGTTATTTGTAATAATGTGGAATGGCAC